GGCAAAACTTGACCACACAGAGCAATGAGGTGACGGGACCCTGCACACTTCTAGTGATGTACAGAGGCCAGCGGGCACTCAGACTGATGGCTTTCCTGCTGAATGCTGGGGTTCACAGTGCTAGGTGGCCTGTCAGGCCTCCTGTCATCTTAGCCAGGCTTCCTGCTTGCAGTGAAGCTGAGTTGATTGCTGCGCTCCCAGGACGTGTGCTTCCCAGCCTGAGCACAGGCCACTGTCCTGAGAACTGAGGAGCTGTTCCCATTACAGGGAGATGCTTCTTTGGCTTTTGCTGAGCCTTTCTTGAGCTTTAAAGAAAGAGGCTTCTCCAGGATCACTTTAACGTAATTATTGGCTAGAATTTTGTTGTCATGGACTATAAATTATACATGCGTTGGTATGATTTGGCTGGCGAGGGGCAGAGCTGGCCTCAGAGTGCCAGGCGTGGGCTTGCTTGTCCGATGGGGCACTGCCGTGCTGTGCTCGCGTGCCGGGCGGCAGTCTGCTCTCGAGAACCCCTCTCACACTTCCTTTCTTTGCTTCCCACAGTCGTCACTGCGGACGTCTTCTTTGCCATAAATGCTCGACCAAGGAGATCCCTATTATAAAGTTTGATCTGAACAAGCCTGTGCGAGTTTGCAACATTTGCTTTGATGTACTGACTTTGGGTGGGGTCTCTTAGGAGCCCCCGGGAAGGTCCAGGCCACATCCTCGGTTGCCTCCCCAGCAGCTGCTCTGCTCACCAGCCTGATCCCCCTACCCCCCACCCCCCGGAGCAGGAGCTGGCAGTTGTGTTCTTGCGGCAATAGACGGGAACAATTAAGGACCGTGGTGTGACAGATCCCATCTCAAACAATTCTGTGTGATTGTCAGTTTATCAGACTATGATCAAGGTCACTAGATGTCTCACTAATTGGACCAGGTCTTTTAGCCTAAGTGGTAAATGTGATAGGAATTAGACCCCATTCTGCTAGCAATGTACAAGGATGCTTCGAAAACCATTTTCCCTTCCAGTAGCTTAGTGTCCATCTCAGAGCATTCATGAAGTCTTCCTGACTGGGTAGACTTCCTAGGCAGAGCCTACCTGTAGGAAGCTGGCATCTGGCTGCACGACAAGAGCTGGCTTTACTCTAGGGTAAGTGGCTGTGGACTTTTCTGCACAGTGTTTTCATAAAGGTAATAGGATCCTCTTGCCCTGAAATCTCGCTCTCTCTTTTTTTGTTTTTTTTGGGAAAAGCTAAGCTGTATTTTTAGTGAACTACCCCTTTAAAAAAGGTGAAATATTTCTAAGCAGGGTTCAAAGATGAGAGCTGAAAAATTGTGGCCTTAACAACTGAAAGCTTTACCAGTATTCATGCTACTCGGGTGTCAGGATTGCGGTGTGGCAGCTTGACACCTCCTAGCAGCCATCTTGTTCTCTCACCTTACTGTGTCCTGTCTATGGAGTCCTCAGTCACCTGCCACTAGGCAGTGGTGGAGAAAATGCACTTTTATTGTGCTGCACTTTTTATATAGCTGCATTATTGGTGATTCCAATTTAAAAATCCATATTCAAAAATACCCTCACACATCCATGCATCAGTGATTCTAATGATCGGCTTTGACTGGACCTCAGCTCACACTAAGTCTTAAAGGGAAAACTCCTGCGGAGTGTCATTTGGAGCAGGAGAGTGACACGGGCCAAGTGAGGGGAAGGGGAATCTCCAGCCTCAGGCTGGCAGGTCCCATCTCCTTGACATGAGTGCTTCTTGCTGAAACCTTTGCAGTTATGTTGTGAGTGCTGTCTGTCCCAGGTCCCAGGTCCTTGCCCCATAAGAGCCAACAGCCAAAGGCCCTGGCCAAGTGTGTGTGACCCCATCTTGGAAGGCTCGCTCGTGTGCTGAATGAGGCCCCCAGAGGCTACCAGGCCTTAGTCGCTGCTAGTACTGCATTAATCCTGAAGTGTTAAACTTGTTTTCTTTTGAAGGTTTGGCCAGTTTTTTAAAAAATGCACATTTAAAGAGAAACTTCTACCACTGCTTTAAAAACAAAACAAAACAAAACTCTGAGATGAACAATATGTGTTGTACAGCTATACTCAGAGATTAACAATCTCAATCATACATACTGTTTTTTTCAGACATTTAACCACTACATTTTTTTGTATTAATGAAGTATGAATATATGTGTAAAAGGGACTGAATATTTTTTTTGCAGCAGCCTGTTGTTTTGTTTGGTTAATGGTATGTCCTCCATGTTGCTGTAGATTTATACATCCTACTGCCTAAATATGTGTGTAAAATGAGCTGATAAACCAGAGTGCTACGTTTTTTTTTAACATTTCTGTGGATTTATAAGATATATATGCTTTCTATGTTAATATGAGCTTGTGCACAATGTTTCAAAGAAAAAATTAATTAGAAGAGTTCTCCTGTCCCCAAAAGTCTGTGACATATTTCATATAGAATTTTTATAGGAAAACAGCTAGTCTTGGCAAACACCTGACCACGTGAAGCATGTGGTCAGTTTCCATTTTCTGTTGCCTGAACAGGGCCTGAGGAAGTAGGCCTTAGTTAGGTGGCTTGATTCTTTAATTGGAAAGTAAGATAATTATGCTTCAGATATGAATTGAGGTAGTCGGTACTTTTATACCTGTTCTTTTAACGTTCATGGTAGAGAGAGCAGGACGGGAATTCAATCAGGGATGAGGTTGATTGTCCTGCCCCTGCCCTACTATACCAATTTCAATAACACTCTAATTTCACTTAAGAATCTTGAAATCATGTTTGAAATTGTTGAGTCAAGCTTCTTTTTCTTCACAGAGTCCAGGGGTAGCAATGGTACTTAGCTGCCACAAGTTGGGGGAACATTTTGTGAGTTCTGCATTGGCTTCAGGTAGATCTTGTAGATCTAGAAAAAGCACCTTTCCACAGTCTTAGGTTCTCCCTGCCGTGCCGATGCTTGCAGGGCTGTGTCTCAGGTTCCTTGAGTGGTGGCTGACCTGGGGGTACTTGACGTGCTCTCAGTCCCCTTTGTGCTCTCCAAGCCGTCAGACTTGACTCTAGAACTGCCTGGCTGTTCTTGTTACATTTTAATCCATAGCTTACATACTAATAGAAAAAACTCAATTTTATTCATTCAGAAAGTTGCCAACTGTAAATGAGTAGAGCAGGAAGAATAAACTTTATTGAAATATAATTTGCTGAATCAGTCAACATTGTTATGCTAAATTAGCTTTTTAACTGCCTCATGCTCATCACGAGATTTGTGATGCAGTGTGTTCTTAACAGTCCTTTCTTTTTTTTTTTTTAAAGATGAAGGTACAAACCATGTGCTATATATATAAATGGAATGGCTAAAACTAACTTGCTATGATCCTCGAACACAGGAATTTCCCACAAACTTAAGTGCCTACACTTAGGACTTATTAATTTTCAGTTATCTTTTAGTGGTGTCTCACTGAATGATGTATTAGAATATGTGTTCTGTTTGGAGTTTGTTGCCTGTGCATTGTCAACCCCAGTTACCAACTTAGTCGAGGCTGGATTAGATTGTTCAGTTCACCTGCCATATTCTCTCCAGGAGTGGGGTCCACGTGACCACTAGTCCTCTACCTCAGAGCCCTGAGTTATTTGTGACCGCCCTGTTCAGCTTTCCTCTCTCCTCTCCCTGAATGGGGTCCCTGCATGGAACTCAGCGTGCTTGTGGGTTCACCACCACTCCCGGTTCATGTCTCCCACTTGTTGTATTGAACGGTATTGTGCTAATCTTATCTGTAGGCATGAAGTGGAGGAAAAGCCTTGGGACAGGGGAAAACCTTGATCTCCATCTAGGTTTCTTTTTAATCTGGAGAAAAAACCCTATTGAACTATGTAATGCTTAGATCTGAAAGGCAAACTAACTCCCCAGGTGACAGTAGCATGAGCAAGTAAATGTAACGCTTCCATGACAGCCCCACGTGGAGCTTGCAGGTTGAGACTGAGAGAGAGCTCCTGAAACAAGCTTTCTTCCAGGACCTGGGACTGCTTCCCTCGGGCCCAGGCCCAGGAGAACTGGGCATGGGGCTGGCAAGACCAGCCCCTCCTAATCTGAAGCACCAAAGCTCCCCAGCCCCGCCGGGGAGAGGAGGAAGCCGAGGACAAATAACTTTCTAAAGCGTTTGGAAGCCACATTCTCGTTTTGTGGAAGTAATTTAGTGAAGAGCTGATTATTTGACTAAACACTTATTAAATTTCCAGAAGTCATCATAGATGCCTTAAAGATTTTCTTTGGAAGATCATTGCCTGTACTGTTACTTTTTTGTGTGGCATAAATAATATATTAACCTGTTACAACCGACAACATTGGTTTTCTGTAGCTAGGGAGTCTTGAGTTGGCAGCCTGTTCAGCTTAATGACTTAATGTCCTTTTTTGGCAGATGTGTGGAGTTGGCTGTTACCATGACATACCTGTGTGCTATACCCAGGGGGAGGGCTGGGCCAAAACTGCAGGCACACATTTGGGTTGATCACCTAGGCTTCCAAGCCATTCCGGGTGGTGCTCAGTGTGGGGCGAGAGCATCGTATAGGACCATGGCGCTTAGCAGCATTGTTTCTTTGGAGTCCGTGTAATGGAATGTATTTTTCAAATATTGATATTTGCATTTTCTGTAATATTTCCATATAAATAAAATGAGGTAAAATTGTACATTTAAAGTGGAAACCTTAATAACACATTTGTAGTTCCTTTTTTTTTTAAATTTATTTATTTATTTTTGGCTGGGTTGGGTCTTCATTGCTGCGCACAGGCTTTCTCTAGTTGTGGAGAGCAGGGGCTATTCTTCGTTGCGGTGCGGGCTTCTCATTGCTGTGGCTTCTCTTGTTGCGGAGCACAGGCCCTAGGCACGCAGGCTTCAGTAGTTGCAGCACATGGTCTCAGGAGTTGTGGCTCACAGGCTCTAGAGCATAGGCTCAGCAGTTGTGGCGCACAGGCTTAGTTGCTCCGTGGCATGTGGGATCTTCCCAGACCAGGGCTCGAACCCGGGTCCCCTGCATTGGCAGGCGGATTCTTAACCACTGTGCCACCAGGGAAGCCCTGTAAGCATTAAAAACAAACACAAAACTTTTAACACTCCTGACATGTGAATACATTTCTTTAACAGCTACCCTCTAGGAAAATCTGAATTTCCAACACTTTTCAGAAACACATGGTTGACAGCAGTGAGAAAGTAGCTGTTTTAGGCATAATGACCAGCTGCCTGGATGTCCTGTGCTCTTGGCCCAGACTTCAGCTCATGGTGACGTCTGTGACCACAGCTGCCCAGGCTCAGCCACCTGACCCCACTGCAGCTCTCCCGTGGACCCTGGAAATTCCCTCCCTGACTCCATTGTTTAGGAGCAACTCGAGAAGATCCCCCCATGGTGAGGTTTCTGCTGGCCTTGGTCTGAAGGGAGGATTAGTGCTGTGGGTTTCAGAGAAAACTAAGGAAAGTTTAGGGGTTTGCAAGTTAAAATCTAGTGATCCATAATTCCCCCATACAAACTGCATGAATCTAGTAGCTCACCTCACCATCACACTTTCTTGAACTAGTGTCCTCCTTTCCCTTACCTGTTTTCCATTTTGCTCACTCCTGGTTCGGACCAGCTATGGTGATTGATAAATCGCATTCTCTGCTGGCTTTACTCAAGAGTTAATAGGCACTGCTGGGGGCTTCCACGTAACAATCCCAAGTGATCCTAATAGCCGTCCCTGAGGAGAACACTGGTCATGTTTTGTCATAATATGTGAGTACAAAGCGGCATGCTTCATAATTTCTGTGCCTTAATTTTTATGTCTGTAAAACAGAAGTGAGCACGGTTCGTCCTAGCTCACAGGGTTGCCCCGAGGAAGGTGATCAGTATTAGGTCATATGTCCTTCCTCTCATGCAAGTACACGAATTCTGGTGTGCACAGCGAGGGTCCCCTCCAGTGTGGACTGATGGGAGCAACGTCTGCTGCCTATTTGCAGGAATCTGGGGGCCCAGGGAATAGGAAGTGCTTTCGAGGATGGAAATTCAGATTTCCACAGATTTCTGAACAGATATCCCTAACCTGTCCGTAGGGTCTATCTTTCAGATCACAGTTTGTCCTGGAGCTGAGCAAGCTAGGGATGGCGGCAATGGTCTGATACGGGTCCCTTTGCAAGTTAAAGGGACTGAGCTGTGGCCAAAAAATTCTGGGCTCTTCCCTCTTAGTTCTGTGTTTCTGGAAAAACTGGAATCTCAGCATTAAAAGGCAGACGTTACAATTTCCTCCAGCATGTTGGAAGGCAGCTGCCCAGCCCTTGCTTTAACACTGTTCATGGTGTGGCAGAGAGAGCAGACCTGGGTAAGAAGCTCAGCTCTATTCACTTTGTTATAAAGCAGAAACTAACACACCATTGTAAAGCAATTATACTCCAATAAAGATGTAAAACAAACAAAAAAACACAAAAAACTCAGCCCTGCCGTGCAATGACTGTTGTAACCATTAGATGTGGGGTGGGAGAATTTATGCCCCTTTTCTGGACCATAAAAAGACCCTCTCAAGGCTGGCATCGAGGTTCAGTGAGAACAGATAAAGCTCCCTCCCTGCTCAGCATGTTTGCCCAACATGTATTAGTTTCCTTCTCCACTTCCCTCTGTCAGCAGGTCTTAACTGCCCGAGCTGAACTTTCTGTGGCTTCCATCACGGAGGGACTACCTTCCTCCTCCATAGTCTTGCCCAGGAGAGAGGAAGGAGAGGCATTTCTCCAGTAACCACTAGCTTCTCATGGCTGAGCCTTTTGGATCATTAACATGACAACCTACTCTTGGCGAATCCTTTGAAGACTCATCCACTGCCCTGGTGTGAGGAGGCTGTTTCCTATAAAGTAAGTGGTCGGCATCGAAAAGGAAACGAGTGCTCATTGAGCAAGGAAGTGAGCAGCCCGCAGAGGCTGGATGAGTGTGTCCGGAAATGTGGGCTCAGGGGTCTTGCATCAGCCAGAGTTCAGGTCTGTACTTGGCTGGGATGACTCTTAAGTGCCTTGTTTTGCTCTTTTTCCTTATCAGTTTGTTTTGGAAGGATCTAAACATCTCTGGACCTGGCCTCCACGCTATCCCTGCATTCCTACCCCAGGAGTGGCCTCTGGCCGCTCTAACCAGGGCTTTACTTGGCCATACTACAAGCTCCTTGAGGTCAGGAGCCTCACTTCCCCCCAGCCCAACCCCATGGCACACAGATGCTTGGTAAATATCTGTCGAATAACTAAGGACTAAGGAGAGCAGTGGCAGTGACTAGTTCTCAGTTAGCCTGGGGTTGAGTCAGCAGGGGTGCCTCAGGCACTGAGCTCAAGGGCTGTGTGGAACTCAGAATAAGGTCCTCACTTAAGTTCGCCTCCCTGTTTGCTCCTGCTCCAGGGAGGGCGGAGACATACCAAGCCGTGGAGGCACGAAGATAGCACTGAGTCAGGACAAGAACCTTGAGTTCTAGGCTCAGCGTCATTGCTATGTGCCTTTATTAAGTTCTTTGGGCCTCGGTTGCCTCATCTGCCAGAGAGTAATTCTGCACACTTCTCGTGTCCTAGGTATGGTGGATGTGGGGGTACAAAGCCAAGTGATCCTTGGTCCCTGTCTCAAAGAGAGTCTGCAGTCCAACGCGAGAGGCTGATCGAAATTCATAGTTACGCGACACTGTGACATTTGTTATTTTAGAAGTGAACACAATTATTTTCCTAGAGGAAAGTGCGTCTAAATCCACTGGTGGGCCAGTGGTTCATGAAGCCTCCCAGTTGATTGAGCTAAGTTATTAAGGGATAAGAGGTAGAAAAATTGAGAAGAAGACATGTCATTCCAGGCAGAAGGGACAGCCGGGGTGAAGGTGTTGCAGGCATAAAGCAGCGAGGTGAAGGCTGGAGGGATCAGTGCACGTGGGAGGTGGTGGCAGAGACACAGAGGCTAAGAGGAGACGGACCCTAGAAGGGCCTCGTGTGCCGCTGAAGAGTTAGCACCTGATCCTTACAGATAAGGGAGCCACTGAAGAGGTTTAAACGGAGAATGCCCTGAACATCACGGGGATGGCTTGGCAGCGTGGAGGATGGGCTGGAGGGAGTGCAGTTAGATCAGGTGAGAAAGGAAGGCCTCAACCAGAGGAGGAGTACTGAACAGGTAAGGGGTGGGATTGCCAGGACCTGGAGACTGGTCAGGAGGAGGGGCTCAGGAGGGAAGGGGCTGGGGATGATGGCCAGGATTCTTACTTGGTGTGACCGGGTGCTTTGAGATGGCGATGGTGGAACCATCCAGGGACACTGGAAGAATCACCAGGGAGAAGATGAAGACTAAATGCCAGAACTGTGGAGTCTTTGGTGCCTGCAGAAATGGTCAGGAAAGCCGCCTGGACTAGATGGCAGACTTGGCAGCTGACGCAGGAGCGACAGGAGCTGGTGGGAAGGCGTGTGGAGGAGAGGCTTTCCAGGAGGCTGGAAGGGACCCCCAAGGGAGATAAGGGAAATGGGGAAAAAGCCAAGGAAGGCTTTCACGAGGGCCCTCAAGTGGGACAGGTCCAGGTAGGTAATAATTGAATGTGGCCGTGGGTTTGCCAGTACAGAATTGATCCTGCTGTGGCGCAGGGAAGGGCTAAGCTGGGCGACTGTGTTGCAGGCAGACGGGGGCTGAGGAGCAAAGCCTGAGTACATGCAGCATTCTCCGAAGCTTTGCTGGGGCGGGAAGTAGGGACAGGAAGGAGTTACGGGGCCTCAGAAGAATGGGGCAGGAGGGAAGGGAAGTGAGCTGTTGAATGCAGACTTAGAGGGAAGAGCCGGGAGGCAGGAAGAGGTTAAAGGTGCCGGAAAGGCCGGTGAGGAAGATCCTGGATGGCAAAAGGAGCCAAGAGCAGGATTCAGGCGTGAAGAGCAGCTGTGGCCGAAGGGCAGTGAGCCACACCAGTTAGGGCAGGCAGCCTCCGTTTTCCAGTCCGTGAATCTGGAAAGCTATTAAGTGAGATTAATGATAAAGGAGAGGAAAAAAGACCAAGAAAGGGAGGACAGAGAATGTTTAGATTAACAGCTGAGGGAACTGGGAGAAGTTGAGGTGAAGGCACAGATGGGGAGACCATGAACCTGTAATCGCTTCAGATTCGTTTCCTTACCTGTAAGGTAGGAACTCTGCCCCCATGAGCTTAACTAGAATCGAGGAGGTCACGGGTATGAACTTGGTCCAGCGTGGGAGATTCCAGATGACCTTGGACACACCACCCACTGTTGAGGCGGTTTGTATTGGCATTTGTAGCCTTGCCCAAACTTTGATGTTGCGCTAGCCAGTGTCCGCGTTAGAGCTGTGAAACTACCTTTTGCTCAAAATGCAGACTTCTCCCTTTGAAAACACACCACCCCTAATTTTAAGTGTTTAAAAGAGAAACAATATCTTTGCTTTAAATTGTTGCTTTGTTCAGAGTTATCTGGATTTGCTGCATCCCTATAAGCAAAAACTTTTCCATTTCCAGAACTAGCCTATCCTGTTTTATTGTCACCTCACTATATTGGTCCAGCTCGAATTAACTCAATGTGGCTTTTGGCTGTACTGATAAATTCAAGTTTGCCTAAGGGCAGAGGTCTTACTTTTAAGAAAGGTTGTAAAAGTCAGGGCTCACATTAGCAAGTGGGGAACCGGAACAGGGTTGTGTTGACACTGTTAGTTCGTATGGCTTTTCTGGATGTGTCTGCTTGTTTCTGAGTTGTAAGGGAATGACGTAGCCCCCGATGTCCTGGTCAGGATGAGAGTTACAAGCAGGGCCCAGGCCGGCAGCTGATCTGGGCAGCCTGGGAGTCCGTGGAAAGGAAGCTGTTGGAGCTCAGAGCCCTTCTGCGTGTCTGCCCAGTTAGCTCTGAGTTGGTCAAATTTGTGCCCGTTAATACCTGCGAACTCCAAAGGATGATGGTGAGGAGATGTAGCGGAATAGTGGCAAAAACAGGCCGACCAGTACTAGGCAGGTTGCCAAGCACTGGCCTCAGTCACCAAAATGGTGAGCCCATAGGGAGGGGCGTGAGTCCTGTCTGCAGAGCATGGCCCAGTCCTTCCAGGCCCTCTTGTTTCATGTAGGAGCCCTCCTAGGGCACAGGAGTCAAGGGCCCATTAGGGAAAGGCAGGTGAGGGTTCCCTGTGGGTTATGGACATACAGGGTACCGGCTCAGAGGGGGACATAGCATGTGATGGCTAGGGGTGGGCAGCCTGTGTATTCCTCCAAGTTGGGGTGGTCCAAGTCCCCACGATTTCTGTGCGTAGGGTTGTCCGGCGTCTGGTCACTAGGGGGGCCAGTTGTTCTCACACACACGCAGTGGGGCTCCTTGGCACCTGGCTTAAACAGCTTCCTGGGGACGCCAATCCAGTCTCTGCTCACACCTCCACTAAGGAGAGAAGGAAAGAGGGCTGCTTAAAGCATGAAGTCGTGAGTTTCTCTGGGAAGGGAGGAGAGGGAGCAGTGAACCAGGCTTTGTGAAAAGTAGAAGCCATTTCACTTGCCGCCTTGGTGTTTTCCCAAGGCAGTGGTCTGTAGTGTTCACCCGAACCTTCTTGCTCTCCCCCGAGGTCCTCCAGCTTCCCCTCTGAGGGCACAGCCCGTTGTCCTTTCACTGCTGCTCCGGCCCCTGCCCTCTGCCTTCCTAGGAGGCGGCACCACTTCCCTGCACTGGTGGCAACACCTGTGAAAGGCTTTTCCCCACTGGCTCTGAGCGTCTCAAAAGCAGCGTCTGGCTTGAGAATAGCTATCCCAGAGCACACGTATTTTGACAAAGTTCCCCTGGGTTAACAGTCAATTTATGGCCTCACTGAACAGCACAGATGTGGTGACCTAGAAGATGGATTTGGGGGAGAGGCGGGAGGAACAGAAGGGAAGCCCGTTTACCTCCTCTGGGAGCACCAGAACCGGCTGCCCCGGGTTGAGCTCCACTCAGCATTGCATGGTGGAAACTTCTGCTTCTCTTTCAGTTCCTGTTTATTTGCCTCCAAGCCTTTGGTGATCATGGCTTCTGCCTGGGTCAGTTCTGGAGTAGGTAGCCCATCCTCTCCGTAGAACCTTCCTGTCACCCTCCCTGTGGTGACAGGAAAGCTGACATCAGAGTAGCTGTGCGGGGGGGGCAGGAACAGAGGCTTAGCTACTGCAGAAGTCCTGGTAAAGCCGAGTCCCCAGGGCTTCCGCCTTCCACAGTAGCCTGCTGGCTGCTGATTTATTAACTGGTTGGAGGGACTTGTGTTGCCTTCTATCCCGATGTCTCTCAACATCTTATACGACTCTGGATAGACGCCTCCCTGTTCTAGATGTAGAGTCCTCCAGCACGGAAATTATAAAATCTTTCCCCACATGTCACTCATTTTTCAATGTTCCACAGTGCTTGAGGTACACAGTAGGTGTTCAAGAAATGCTTGATGAATGAATGGCTTATTGCATAACATTTTTGTGGCTCATTTCTTCCCCACATTGAATTATTTTGTCTTATATGGATATAAATAAGTCATTTATTGAGTGTTCACTCAGCATCAGGAGCTGTGCTAGCACTTTACCAGTATTTTGTAATCCTCCTAACACCCGTTTGAGAGAGAAATCAGTGCTCCCGTGGTCCTAGGAGAGAGACTGGGAGACTGAATAGCTGGGAAGTCCCTGAAGCTAGTAAGTGGGTCTGGCCCTGAGCTCATGCTCTCCCCTCCACCATTCTTTTCCAGCTCAGTCCTTCAGTGGACAAGCTGAGTGGAAACTGGTTTTAGTTTGAAATCCCCGTCAGAATTTGTAAGGTCTGAGCTATGGCAGTGGCCAGCAAGTGGTTGGCGAGCCTGTAGGCCAGAGCCAAGAAGAGATCAGTTCTTAGACGCAGGGACTTGCACCTCCGAGTCCTGAAGTGCAAGTGGCTTTCACAGCAGCCCCTGGCACAGGGCAAGAGAAGCAGCAGAAAGCACTTCTAGAAGGTTTGCCCAAGTAGGAGGAGGTATCTGTACATACCTGCTCCTGCTGTGTCTGTCCAATCTTCTCAGTCCCCGAGAACTGAGATTCCAGGGTACGTTCGTGTACCCAAGATTCAGCTCATCTTCTCAAGTCCAACACCCTATCCTGACCTTTCCAATTCTATTCTTATCACTTTGTTTTTTCGGCCACTCCATGTGGCTTGCGGGATCTTAGTTCCCCAACCAGGGGTTGAACCCAGGCCCCCTGCAGTGGAAGCGCAGAGTCCTAACCAGGGGACCGCCAGGGAGGTCCCTATTCTTATCACTTCTGCCTGGGTTCCCTGGCTTAGGAGCCTTGGATCTCTGACTCCTCCTTCACATCTAAATGTACACTTCCCTTCGTTCATGTCCAAACCATGGGTGAATCGTGTCGGTCCAACCTTTAAAAAACACCCTGATTCTGCCCATTCCTTTCCATTTCCACTGCTGCCACCCTAATCCAGACGACGGATTACGACAGTGGCCTCCCAGCGGTCTCTGCTTCAGCTCCTTCCTTCCCACAGTTCCTTCTCTACAGAGTAGCTGGGGTGACCTTTGAAAAACGTAAATCACACCTCCATGCCTGGTTTATGCCCTCCTATGGCTTCCTAAAACATATGGATAAAACACAAACTTCTTATCAAAGGCCTCCAAGACAACCATCTGACCTGTGTTTGCTTCTTCAGCCTCCTCTTAAGTGGTCCCCTCCCTCACTGTAGGCTCCCTGACCATGCTTTGCTGCTCCCCACCTCGCGCACTCTGTTCCCTCAGCCTGAAATACTCTCTTCTCAGATCTCAGGATGGCTGGCTCCTTCTCACCTTCCAGGTCTCAGCTTAATTTTCATTTCCTCCAAGAGGCTACCCTGACCGCCTGCTCTAAAGGTGTCACGCACACGCCCAAACATGCATCACGTTAGTTTTAGCTTATTCACAGTCCTATCTGGAATTGTCTAGTCAGTTTACTAGTTTATGATACTGCTCTCCCCACCAGTGAGGCCCCAGCACTCAAAGCAGCTTAGTTCAGAGGATTCATTTTGAACGCTTGTTAGAATAAATGAAGGGAGCAGGGCCCAAGTCCCAGGGCTTCAGTCTGAGTTGGCCTGGCACCGCACTTTCTCCTATAGAGGGTCTCTGTATGCATGGTGACAAGCCTGTCCTGGTGGGTTTTAGACATGAGACCCAAAGAGAGGACAGCAGTAGTAGAGGCAACAGAGAAAGAGGCAGAAGCTGTGTCATGAGAATGGCGGTCACCATTGGCTGGGTCTCCAGAACACAAAAATGGCATCTCGTTTCCCCTCGAGGCCTGGCCATGTGGCTGCCAAGATGGCTTCCTGCTGTCGTCCTTCAGTGTGCACCTGTGTAATAAATCTTCATCTTCTGACGCTCTGTCCTGAGGGTTTCTGGTGCCCTGAAAGAACCTAACACTGCCCTCCCCCTACAGAATGAGCTAACAGAGGACAGGAACTGCATTCAGCTCATCTGTGGTCCCCACGAGGACCAGAACCACAGCATATCCATAGCAGATACTCGAATATATCCTGACTTTAACTACAGTCCTTCGGAGGCATTTCTGACCATGTGCCCCTCACTCCCCTGCACGTTAACACTGTTCAGACAAGACGAGTTCACTCATCTCACCAAACACATCAGTTTGCTCCTCGACATCAGTGTGATGTGTTTGGTCTGGCATCCTTTGCTGACACACAGGACTCCACTTTTATTCTTCTGTGTTGGGTTTTTTCCTTATTAACACAGTCATGTTTCAGCTTTCGTTTGGCAACTTTATGGGGAAAAGGGAGAACCAAGCCTTCTGAAGGCCAGACGGATAGAGGTCAGTTCCTTCAGTGGCAAACATAGTTGTGATCTGAGGAGTGGCCTGGTGCAGACTGGGTGAAAACAAAGATAGGGGGTGCTGCAGGTTGGGGTGACAGGGGCCAACAGTGGTGGGTGTGGAAGAGGGGGCACTGGAAACATAACTTCAGATTCATGAAAAAAGCCTTGGCTAGTTGGACGTGGACGGAGCAGAGGAGTCAGTGAAAATGCTAGTGAAAGGTTCTCAGCAAAGGTAACCCAGGGAGTAATGACAGAAACAGACATGCAGGGACATTAGGGGCAGAGAAAGAACTTCCAGTTTAGACCTGTTCCAGGGTGAAGTGACACTGATGTTCCTCAGGAAATTAGCTGTGTCTAAGTGGGCTCCAGTGAGAGGTCAGGGCAGCAGTAGATGGAGAACAGGGGCCCAACCATCCCAGTTGTCAGTGTTTGTGAAGCAATCTACTGTTTAGTGTCTAACATTTCTTTAGGACACCGTTAGGTATCGTCTCATTTAGGTAGCAGGTGCGGCGCTCCACACAGCTGGCTTGAACAAGTGTTTGATGAACATGACTTCCACCTGGGAGGCAGTTCGTTGAGGATGGGCACAGGTTGATGTCTGTCTCCTTCGGGGACGAAGTAAAAGGATATTTGTCAAAACCATTTGCAAACAGGCTTTGAGCCTCCCTGTGTCTGAAGCCAGACGCCTGGAACACGGCGAGATGGGGAAGCTGCCCTCCTGGGCGGGTCACTCAAGAGTGGCGCAGGCTGTGGGGCAGCAGAGGCCAAAGCCAGTGGTCGGGCAGTCCTCTCCCAGGAGCGAGAGCAAGGGAAACAGGGACCTCCCCGGTGGGCCCGTGGTTAGGACTCCGCGCCTTCACTGCCAAGGGCCTGGTCAGATCCCTGGTCAGGGAACTGAGATCCCACAAGCCACAGCACGGCCCAAAAAAAAGGTGATGGAAACAAGCGCCCCAGCCATTTCCTTCCGGGACATATCGCCACACTGACAGCCAGAGTTTAAGGTGAAAAATCCATGGGCATTTTTCAGATTTTAACCTTGAGTCCAATCCCCAAAGAATTCTAGCCCCTTAAAAAAACTGCAAGACAAACAAAACAAAAACAAGAAAACAACTGCAAGACAACTAAATGAAATGTATGGAAATGACCTGTGGAATACTTACCGATGAATTCATAATTCTTCTCATAGAATGAAAGCCAACTTTGGAGTGTCAGCATCTCAGAAAATGACAGGTCAGATACATCATCCACAAGGCCTCCTTCAGAGTAGTCCCCGGTCACAAACGCTCTGGATGCGTCTCGGCCTGCAGGGGAGATGTTTCCAGTAGATTAACTTATAAATCACCAACACTGTAGCAACTCAAGAATCTGTTTTCTGAGAAACATCTCCCAAAAACCCTCACTCCCCAGCCCCCAGCAAAGCTGATCCCTCCTCCCCCTCGGTGACAGACGCTCCTGGATCTTAGACATACTTTCTGGCATGCATCCTGTTCTTTCATTGACTTTCAGCAACATTTCACATGGTGGACCATGTCCCTTGGCTTCTGTGACACTATACTCTTGGTTTTCCTCCTACCCTTCTAGCTCATTTTCTACCAGCCTCAGACATCAGTTCTTGTTCACCTCCTTTGCTCCATCCACACCCTCCACTTGACAATCTCATCCACTCCGTGGTTTCAAGTACCACCTCTCTGCCAAAGATGCCAAATTTGTATGTTTAGCTCAGACTTCTCTTGAGCTCCAGACCTGTATATCCAGTTGTCTGCTCAACGTGCCTTAGATGACTTTCAGACATCACAAGTTAAAAATGTCCATACTGCATCCCCAGCCCCTGGAAACCTGCCTCTATTCTCGTACTCCCTGTCTCGGTTAATAACCAGTTGCTCAGTCCAGAAATGTAGTCCTTGACGACTCCTTCATCCCTCACATCCCATCAGTCCCCGAGTCCTATAATTTCTTCCTAAATATCAGTCTGCCTGGCCCCATCTACTACTCAGCAAGCCCGGGCTGCCGTCGTCTCTCATCTGAACTACTAGAGTAACCTGCTAGGTCTCCCTGCATTCATTTGGCCCCCTGCTCATCTATTTTCCATACAACACTTAGACTGATATTTTAATTAAATCGATCATACCATTCTCTTGCTTCAGAATCCTCAGGGGCTTCCTTTTGCCCTATGACAAGGTACATATTCCTTAGCAGGCCATTCAAGGCTCTGCACCAGCCACCGCCAACCTCGCCTTGCCACTGTACTCCCTTTCTCGCTCTCCTCCTCCCCCACTAGGCTAAGGCCTCTAGTAACACCAGTATGTTCTTTTAACACTCATCACAAAAATAACTGATTAATTGCTTATGTGATAACTATTTAACGTCTGTCATTTCTACTAGTCCGCAAGTTTTATCAGGGAAAAGAACACACCAAACTTAAGAATCAGTTCCCCAGTGTCTGGTGGTGCCTGATCTTTAGTAAATTCTCAATAAATACATGACTGAATGAAACCCATACATTTATAGTTAATTGATTTTCAATAAGGGTGCCAATTCAATGAGGGAAAGAATAGTCTTTACAACAGATGGTGCTGGGACAACTGAATAGCGACATGCAAAAGAATGAAATTGGACCCCTACCATATATAAAATTGACTCAATAAATCAATGACCTGAATTATGAGCTAAAAATATAAAACTCTTAGGAGAAAACATAGGTGTAAATCTTTGTGACCTAGGATTAGGCAATGGCTTCTTAGCTAGGACACCAAAAGCACAAACCACCAGAGGGAAAATAATTAGGATTTGGTCAGAAATTTTAAATTTTGTGCATTATAGGACACTATCAAGAAAGTGAAGCCCTGAAACCATAAAACACCCAAGAGAAAACAGGCAGCATGCTCTTTTTTTTTTTTGGCCGTGCTGTTTGTGGGATCTTAGTTCCCCAACCAGGGATCGAGCCTGGGCCCTCGGCAGTGAAACTGCAGAGTTCTAACTACTAGACTGCCAGGGAATTCCCGGCAGTATGCTCTTTGACATTGGTCTTGGCAATATTTTTGGGAATGTCTCCTCAGGCAAGGAAAACAAAAGCAAAAGTAAACAAATGAAACTACATCAAACGTAAAAGCTTTTGCACAGCAAAGGAAACTATCAACAAAACGAAAAGGCAAGGGAATTCCCTGGTGGTCCAGTGGTTAGGACTCCGTGCTTCCACTGCAGGGGGCCAGGGTTTGATCTCTGGTGGGGAACTAAGATCCTGCGAGCTTCAAGGCGCAGCCAAAACAAACAAACAGAAAACCCGAAAAGGCAGCCTGCTGAATGGGAGAAGATATTTGTAAATGATATATCTGATAAAGGGTTACCATCTAAAATATACAAAGAACTCATACAACTCAGCATCAACAGAACAAAATAAAACAGGGACTTCCCTGGTGGCATAGTGGTTAAGAGTCCACCTGCTAATGCGGGGGACACGGGTTCGAGCCCTGGTCTGGGAAGATCCCACATGCCGTGGAGCAACTAAGCCCGTGTGCCACAACTACTGAAGCCCATGTGCCTAGAGCCCATGCTCCACAACAAGAGAAGCCACCGCAATGAGAAGCCCGCACACCGCAACGAAGAGTAGCCCTTGCTCTCCGCAACTAGAGAAAGCCTGCGCACAGCAACGAAGACCCAACGCAGCCAAAACTTTTAAATAAATAAATTAATTGAAAAACAAAACAAAAAAACCCCAAGCAACCTGATTAAAAAATGGCAGAGGACCTGAATAGACATTTTTCCCAAAGAAGCTATACAAATGGCCAACAGACAAGTGAAAGATGCTCAGCATCACTAATCATTAGAGGAATGCAAATCAAAACCACAATGAGATATCACCTCACACCTGTAGGAATGGATATTATCTAAAAGACAACAAATAACAAGTGTTGGCGAGGATGTGGAGAAAAAGGAACCTTGTACACTGTTGGTGGGAATGTAAATTGGAGAGCTACTATGGAAAACCCTTTGGAGGTTCCTCAAAAAAATTTAAAATAGAACTACCATATGATACAGCAATTCCACTCTTGGGTATTTATCCAAAGAAAACAAAACACAAATTCAAAAAGAAATATGCACCCCTATGTTCACTGCAGCATTATTTACAGTAGCCAATATATGAAAGCAACCTAAGTGTCCATAGATGGATAAATGGATATACACATATACAGTGGAATATTAGCCATAAAAGCGAATGAAATCTTAGCATTTGCGACAACATGGATGGACCTATAGGGTATTATGCTAAGTGAAGTAAGTCAGAAAAAGACAAATACCGTATAATTTCACTTATATGTGGAATCAAAAAAAACATAACAAAACAGAAAGAGACTCATAGATACAGAGAACAAACGTGGTTGCCCACAGGGAAGGAGGCAGGAGGTTGAATGAAATAGGTGAGGGAGATTACGAGGTACAACCTTCCAGTTATAAATAAGTATGGGGATACAGCATAGGGCATAGAGCCAATAATACTGTAATAACTTTGTACGGTGACAGATGGTCACTAGACCTATGGTGGTGATCATTTTGTAATATATAAAAATATCAAATCACTATGGTGTACACCTGAAACTAACATAATATTGTGAGTCATTTATACTTCAAAAAAAAGTGAAAAGAACCTGCAGAATGGGAGGAAATATTTGCAAATTATATATCTGATAAGGGTCTAAGTGTCCAGAATATATGAAGAATTCATATATACAACTCAACAATAAAAAGACAACTCAATTTAAAAATGGACAAAGGATTTGAATAGACATTTCTCCAAGGAAGATATACAAATGGTCAACAAGCACATGAAAATATGCTCAACTAGTTATCAGTGCGATGCAAATAACCAAAACCACAATGAAATACCACTTCAAGCCCATTAAAATGGCTATAATCAAAAAGAAAAAAAAAAGACAGTAACAAGTTTGCTGAGAATGTGAAGAAACTGGAACTCTAAATACATCAATGATGGGCATGTAGGTTGGTGCAGCCACTTTAGGAAACAACAGGCAGTTTCTCAGAAAGTTAAACATGACCCAGCAATTCCACTCCTAGGTATATACACAAGAGAACTGAAAACGCATGTCCACAACAAAACTTGTACATAATGTTCATAGCGTTATTCATAATAAGCAAAAAGTGGAAACAACCCAAATATCCAAGAAATGATGAATAGATCAACAAAATGTGGTATATCTATACAATGGAATATTATTTGGCCATAAAAAGGCATGGAGTCTTGACATGCTGATACATCATGAATGAACTTTGAAAACATTATGCTAAGTGAATGAAGCCAGACACAAAAGGCCACATGCATGACTCCATTTACATGAAATGCCCAGAAGAGGCAAATCTTTTGAGACAGAAAGTAGATACTGGTTGCCAGGGGCTAAGTAGTCGGAGGGGTTGGGGAACGACTCCTAATAGATATGGGGTTTCTTTTGGGGGTGATAAAAATGCTCTGGAATGAGATAATGGTGATACTTGCACAACTTTCTATGTTCAAAACCACTTGTACTCTTTAAAAGGGTGGATTTTATACCATCTGAATATCTTTAAAAAATATATATTGACTGAGCGAATAAGTGAACATACCTGCTTCCCTACTAGAGTGCATAGGTGTTGGGGAGCAATGTTATAATCTCTGATTCCTCAGCACGTTGTACAGGGCCAGCTACATGGCAGTGGTCAGTAAATGGATGGTTAATAAATATTGGGCACAGAGGAACTCAGTCAACAGTAGAGCACATTGCAAAAGAAAAATGCCTCCAGAAATGGAGTTATAATCTCTGATTCCTCAGCACTTGAGGAATCTCTGATTCCTCAGCACGTGGTACAGCTACATGGCAGTGGTCAGTAAATGGATGGTGAATAAATGCTGGGCACAGAGGAACTCAGTCAACAGTAGAGCACATTGCAAAAGAAAAATCACTCCAGAAATGGAGCGTTTTCTGCTCACACTTGTGCATACAGCCATGATGGCTGCATCAGAGTGCGGCAGGAGAGTGCACCAAAGTGTCCTCACCTGGCAGGTAAGTAAAACACTTGATTCCAGTTCCAGCTCTGCTTCTAACTCACTGTGTAGCCCTGGGTAAGTCCCTTCCCCTTCTGGACTGTTCGAGGAGCTCAGCAACACCAACTGAACTTAATTCCTTCTCTGTCAATGCTTCTATTTCTTAAAAGTTCTCCCTAAAGACAGGGAAGTGACTTGTATTTAAGTACCAGAGGCAGGTACCCAGTTCTCCTGAAATAATGACAAGTGGGAAATGCTTATTTCCTATCAGCTTAGTCACTGGCCGTAGGCTTGCTCGTCATCTTTTTCTTTTTTAATCTAGGAGATGGTCATTCTTCTGGGCTGGTAAGACGACATCTCTAAAAGTAGTAGGCTGGTGTTCCTAGTTCAAGTCCTGTCAGGACTTAGTTGTGAGGGCTTTAGGCAAATCACATCCTCCAATCCCCCAAGATATAAAACAGGGAGGACAGAATAACCCTCATTTGACAAATGTTCTTTGAGGCCTAACGTGCCAGCTTTGTTCTAAGTACTGAAGGACTGTAAATGAGGCCAGACTCCTCCCCTGTGCTCTAACCTGATAAACTTTTTTAAGGAAGGCAGACAAATGCATTTGTACTAGAAGCAAGAACGACTCAAACCAAATGTACTACTTTTAGGGGAAACCTGGAGTAGGGGGAAAGGAAAATCGCTTCCGATTGGGGCACATTGAAGAAATGGTTGGAATCATTTCCAACCATTTGGGGTACTCTTGAGGCCGGGGCAAGGCGTCACTCATCTCTGGGCCCTGAGAGCCACGCAGTGTGGCACAAAGCAGGTACTGGGGGCTTCTGCTGGCGGGTAAAATGTAACTCGTAAGAGGCAAGAGATGTGTTTCTCCAGCCTAACTCAAGAAGAGCGGTGGGAAAAGACAGGGAAAGCAAAGGCTGGCAACAGTTGCCCATAGTCCTGCCCGAGTCAAAACAGACCAGAAGGATGATGCAGCTGAGCCCGGTTCCCACGCTGGTCTGACGAATGTGGGGAGGAAAAGAGGAAATGAATAAACGAATGAAAAAGTGAATGAATGAAGCGCGGCGTGAACCGCCCCGCTAATACCTGCGAAGCCGCTATAGTGGGCCCCAGGCTCGTAGTGCCTCCGGCCAGAGGACACATCGTAGACGCGTCCGAGCAAGGCCAAGTAGAGGCCCCGGTCCCCAGGGCGGCCGCGATAGCGGGCCAGCTCCTCGGGTATGAAAAGGCGAAAGTCAGCGCGGGGACTCCACCAGTCCATCAGCCGTGCGGCCATCGCCGCCGCTGCCGCCGCGGCCAGGCCCAGCCAGAGCCCACGCCTGCCGAGGCTCAGCATTTCGACAGCCGCACCGCCTCGGCTCCTCCGAGATTGCTGCCTCTCTGTCCACAACTAAGATGGCGGAGAACCGGCCGCGACGTCACCGGCGCGACGCGCGCTCTCCTGTGTCCGCCTGTCACCAAAGGGACAACGGAGGACTGAAAGGGGAAAGTCTGGCGAAAAGTTCACTCCCTGGCTCCAACTCTTTCTCGTACTTTTCTAGCGTAGCTAGCGACTGTGGAGGGATACCGAGAAAGTGAGTAGCGGGAAGCCTCCCTGCCCGGCAGATTATCTGCCCCCAACAAAGATGGTGGCAAAGGAGGCCGCGGGATGACGTAGACGTAATGACAGACGCGCCGTCTTGGAAATCAGGATGCCCTAGCTAGCTGTCTCACGACAGCTGGTGGAGTCCACTTGACGGCGCCTTTGCGACATCAGTCCTCGCTTGTCGGCGAGGAAGCCGGAAGCCGCAGCCGCCGCCGTCCCTTCCCCGTCCCCGCCCGCCGGGTGCCGTCGGAGGTTGACAGGTTGTGGCGGGGAGGCGGCGGCGGCGGCAGAGCCGGGCGCCCGAGACGGAGACCTCATGGGGAACGCTCCGAGTCACAGCAGTGAAGACGAGGCGGCAGCCGCCGGGGGCGAGGGCTGGGGTCCGCACCAGGACTGGGCCAAGGACTCGGGGACGACCCCCGGCCCGGGCCCCGCGGCCCCGGCGCTACCTCCCGCCGCAGCGCTACTGGAGCCGGCCCGACTGCGAGAGGCGGCGGCTGCGCTGCGGCCCGCGCCACCTTGCGAGTCTCTGGTGTCTAGGCACCACGGCGCGCTGTTGCGTTGGCTGGAAGAGCGGCTGGGCCGCGGCGAAGAGTCCGTCACCCTGGAGCAGTTCGGGGAGCTGCTGGAGGCTCGTGGCGCCGGCTTCTCGGGCGAGCGGTTCGAGGAGGTCAGGGCTGACTGGCGACTGTGGGGCGGGGGCAGGGCGGTCGCCCCCAAGGGCGTGAAGAGGTGGGCGGTGGCTTTGGAGAGGCTGGGCAGGAACCCATAGGGTGTGCAGGTTCCCAGAATAGGAGCATGAGTGTGCCGGGACTCACAGTGGGCGCTTCCAGCCTGTTCACTTCGGGAGACGACTGTGAATCTCTTTAACCTTTATTAGAGGTGTGGAAATCCTGGACTAGGCCGTTCTTGCTCGGAAGTACTGGACAAGTGTAGATGTCTTTGCATGTTGCTGTGGTATAGACCTTTGTGCTGTTGCCTGACGCTGCATCAACTGCCCTCTGGAGCTTCCTTATCATGCTCCATAATGGTTTAAGGGAGATGTGCTCTAGGGATCAAGGGAGTGGCCATGAAAACCATTCTGTTTTATTGGCCAGTGGGTTTTTGCAGGGCCCCTTTTGAATCCAGTGTGTGGGCCTGACGAATGTGGGAGGAGAATAACAGATATTGGAAATTTTCACATTCTGAAATCCATTCTCATCACGCAGAAACTAGCTTTTCCAAAACACACATTTGTTTTAGAACTTTGAAAAGTCATATTTTCGACTCATTTAAACCTACCTAGAACCTAAAACTGACAGGCAAATACCAGGTTTCCTGTCACTACTTGTAATTGTATATAATAGTTTTGAGCATAGTCACCAACATTGTTTCTGTTAAGTGATTAACTGCAAATTGATATGGCAACAAAATATTTTCCTTGAAAGGGATCTTAGAGAAATTATCTGTACCGCATTCTTCATTTTAGAGTTAAGAAAAGAACTGATCCAGGATCACCCTGTGAATCATTGGCAAAACTGAGACTGTCACTCAGATCTCTTGGGTTTTGTTTTTCTTACGTCACACTACCTCCTTGGGGCCCTGTTTCTTTAGCTCCACAATGTTATAACAAAAAGGTGCTTAATTTGTGAAAATGGGTAAACCATGTAGTATATTCAGTGTCAGTGAAGGGTGAGTGCATAAAGCAGTAAACTGACAGGTACTTGTAATGCCATTAAAAAGTGATATACACTTTAAAACCAGAGGCTTTTAAAATATTTTAAGGATGTTTTCCTCTACATGGCCAGAATTCAGATAATGTGGTTTCTTATATTTTCCTTTTAAAAATACCTGTAAAGAATCCCGACTTTTGAAAATGTTGGTCATATAACTTAGTGAAGTGTCTCCATTTTTTTTTTTAATTCCAGGAGCATTCATGATAGTTTCCACTCTTTTTGTTTTGTTCTGGTTTGTTTTTTGGCTGCGTGGCTTGTGGGATCTTATTTCCCTGACCAGGGATCAAACCTGGGCCCCCTGCAGTGGAAGAGTGGAGTCCTAGTTACTGGACTGCCAGGGAATTCCCGATACTTTCCACTCTAGTCCTAGGTGTGTAAAGAGAAAATGAAGCAGTGTCAGAAAGAGCTGTGCAGATCTCTTGAAGGAGTTAGCACATTTCAAAATTGTCCAAAAGAGAATGGAGAGAAACAGTGTTTACATTGTGAGAGTGTCTGACGGGAGAATAGAGCTACAGGAGTCCTGTAATGTAAAGCCAGAAGTCCTCGAGGTGTGGCCCAGAATTCACTCAAGGGCTATGACGTTATCCATTCATTCACTGAGCAAGTAAATATTTGTTGGGCATATACTGAGTGCTCAGCACTTGGATGACAGTGGACAAAGCAGATAACTTGTTCTTAAAGAGTATCTAGTACTGAAAGTGATGCACGTTAACCCAGCAATTATAGGTGTGGTGAGTATTATCCAAGGGAAAGCATAGTGAAAAAATAGGAGTATTTAAGCTCATCCAGGGTGTCAAGGAAGACTTACCTGAGAAAGTTAACTTTTCAGCTCTGATTTGAAGGCTGAAAGCAGACAGGGAGCAGAGGTGTTAGCAGTATTTCAGGCAGAGGGAGTCGAATACACAAGTCCCAAGTCCAGAGAATAGAGAATCAGAAAGAATGGTAGGATGTGTTATGGTTACAAAACTGCTTCAAGACAGAAAATCCAGTGCATCAGTGCTTTAAATGATAAAGAAGCTTTTTATGTAAAAGTCCACTTAGGCAGTCCAGGATTGATATGGCAGTTTCACAGTTATCAGGGACCTGACTCTGTCCATCTTCTTGTGCTCTCCTCCTCCACAGTCATCTTCCACTTAATGACCCAAATGACCCTGTTGCTGTTGCTTTGCACAACCAGCAGAAAAGGGAAAAGGAAGGAGAGGGCCACAAACCCATTTGGCCAAACCCAGTCACATGGCTACACTTAACTGCAAGGGAGGCTGGGAAAGATCCTTATTCCATGGCCATATATTCAGCTAAAAATCAGGATTTAATTACTGAGGAAGAGGAAAACAGATATTGGGTTACAATTTCATAGACTGCAGCAGGAGGAGAGCAAGGCTAGGAAGCAGGCAGGGACCAGATTGTAGAGCAGGTTCTCATCGGTGTATAGTATTTACTAGTGTAATGGTAAGAGTTTCCAAGTTGTACATGTTGGTTCTTCCGGCTCCTGTTGCCATCCATGTGTACCCAGCTGTCTTGTCTTCACATACCTGTGACCTCAGTTGCTTGAGGTGTTGTCCTAAAAAAATTCTTGAACTTGTACCAAAGACCAAAGTCTGAAACGTTGTCATTTTATAGTACAACACACCTTTTCTCTTGGTGGGTGTGGTCCATGGAGAAGGACTCTTTGATTTGCTCACAGGGAGCAATATTTAATTTAATTGACTCCTGTGTAGAAGAGGAATTAGAGTTAAAATTAAATTCTTATTTGACATCAGAGATTAGAGATTAGATATTGTGCTCGTAATATGATAAAAGCTTCCAGAAAATCATGTAGACTTTGGAGCAGGAAAAAAGTGCTGAACATAGGATGATAGCAGATGCCTTGAATGTGGGAATTTAGTACGAATGGGTCTCATTATTTTTTTTTTTTTTTTTTTGCGGTACGCGGGCCTCTCACTCTTGTGGCCTCTCCCGTTGCGGAGCACAGGCTCCGGATGCGCAGGCTCAGCGGCCATGGCTCACGGGCCCAGCCGCTCCGCGGCATGTGGGATCCTCCCGGACCGGGGCACGAACCCGTGTCCCCTGCCTCGGCAGGCGGACTCTCAACCACTGCGCCACCAGGGAAGCCCTAGGTCTTATTTTATTAATTTTCTGTATTAGCTTTGGTGCCTACTTTGTGAAATTCGTTGGGTTGTAAAGTCAGAAGGAAGGACCATTTTCTTTTCTGAATTTTATTTTATTTATTTTTTATACAGCAGGTTCTTATTAGTTATCTGTGTTATACACATCAGTGTGTACATGTCAATCCCAATCTCCCAATTCATCCCACCACCACCCCACCCCACCCCACCCCCCACCACTTTCCCCCCTTGGAGTCCATACATTTGTTCTCTACATCTGTGTCTCTGTTTCTGCCCTGCAAACTGATTCATCTGTACCATTTTTCTAGGTTCCACATATATGCATTAATATACGATATTTGTTTTTCTCTTTCTGACTTACTTCACTCTGTATGCCAGTCTCTAGATCCATCCATGTCTCTACAAATGACCCAATTTCATTCCTTCTTATGGCTGAGTAATATTCCATTGTATATATGTACCACATCTTTTTTTTAAAATAAATTTTTTAATTCTATTTTATTTATTTATTTTTGGCTGCGTTGGGTCTTCATTGCTGAGCACTGGCTTTCTCAGGTTGCGGCGAGCGGGGGTCCCTCTTTGTTGTGGTGCGCGGGTTTCTCATTGCGGTGGCTTCTCTTGTTGTGGAGCACAGGCTCTAGGCACGTGGGCTTCAGAAGTTGTGGCGCACAGGCTTAGTTGCTCCGCAGCATGTAGGATCTTCCCTGACCAGGGCTCGAACCTGTGTCCCCTGCATTGGCAGGCAGATTCTTAATCACTGCACCACCAGGGAAGTCCCCACATCTTTATCCATTCGTCTGTCAGTGGGTATTTAGGTTTCTTTCATGACCTGGCTATTGTAAATTGTGCTGCAGTGAACATTGGGGTGCATGTGTCTTTTTTTTTTAATTAATTAATTTATTTTTGGCTGCATTGGGTCTTCGTTGTTGGTTCTTCATTGCTGCACACAGGCTTTCTCAAGTTGCGGCGAGCGGGGGCTACTCTTCGTTGTGGTGCGTGGGCTTCTCATTGCAGTGGCTTCTCTTGTTGCAGAGCTCGGGCTTTAGGCGCGCGGGCTTCAGTAGTTGTGACACTCAGGCTCAGTAGTTGTGGCTCGCGGGCTCTAGAGCACAGGCTCAGTAGTTGTGGCGTACGGGCTTAGTTGGTCCGCGGCATGTGGGATCTTCCCGGACCAGGGCTTGAACCCATGTCCCCTGCATTGGCAGGCGGA